CTGAATGGTCGTCTTTAGGGACTGAATGTCTTCCTTCCCAATAGCAGGATGAACAGAGAAAAGAAATGGCCAGAATTTTCACCCCATTATACTTAACAACAACAACAAAGAGTAGTTAATTAGAACTATTGGTTACTATTAGGGATCACTGCCTATAAAATGCATATACAGTTGGGACATAAAGAAATAGAAATAAGTAAAACTTAAGTTCGTTAGAGCTATTGGTCATTATTTAATCTTATCCTCTCATGAGCCCTGAACGGTTCTTTATTTTTAAAATTGTTGCATGTAGGCTCCACACCCGCTGTGGGGCTTGAACTCACCACCCTGATTTCAAGGGTTGCACTACTAACCGAGCCCGCCAGGCGCCCCTTAACACTTCTTCAGTACCTGCTACTTCTAATCCTGTGATTAGGGATTGAGGCTTGAAGAGAATTCTTATTTCACTCTCATCTTTAAGATTAAGCATCAAAAACACTTCTGAGAATATTGATAGAGGTTTGATCACCGGTTGAATTTAGGGCTCTATCTGACCGTGACCATGACCATGAAGAAAGGCTCTCTCCTCCCTGTTGTGTAAAGCAATCCTCACTCAGCTCGTTTGTATCATTTAATACACCATAAGATTCGCCTGTTTGAAGTGTTGAATTCAGGGACTTCTCGTAAATCCAGAGTTGTGCAATCTGGTTTTAGAACACGTACTACACTCCAAAGCGATTCCCTTGTGCGAGTTACTCCCCGTTTCCACCCCCACTGGCCCCAGGCCACCACTAATCGACGTTCTGTCCCTATGGATTTGTTTCTTCTGGACATCTCATGTAATGAAGTTAATTCAGACACTCTATGCTCTTTGTGACAGGTTTCTTTCACTTGGCATGATGTTCAGCCATGTCATGGTGCAAGTTCGTAAGTACCTCATTCCTTCTGACCCCCAGGTAATAGCCCACTGTACGGAGTCCCAGTTTTGTTCATCCACTCCCCAGCTGGACATTTGGATGGCTTCCACATTTTTGCTCTTAAAAGTCTTGCTACTTCATACACAAGTCTTTGTGGAAACATGTTTTGACTTCTCTTGGGTAGATACCTAGGAGTAGATTTGCTGGGTTGTGCAGTAACTTCTATATTTAACCCCTTTCTCAAAAGCCAAACTTTTCAAAGTGGCCGCACCAGTTAGCCTTTCCCTAAGCATGGTGTGAGGGGTCCTGTTCTGCTGGTTTAACTGACTTCTCGTCAGAGGTTAGTCCTTTCCCCTGAGTCCGACACAAGCTGGTAGGCAGATCTCCCAAACGTCACGAGTTTCCAATAAAACCCTCGTGATTCACTCCCTATTCTCCCAATCAGGTTCCGCAGACTTCTTGTTTTGAATCTTGTTACCTGATTTCCTAAAACACAGTTGGGGGTTACTCACGAATTTTCCTGTATTCCCTTTCTCTGTGCCACTGTCCCCTACACGTGGCACTCACATAACTTTTTGTGGAATTTGTTTTTCAAGTATCTGTCAGCCCCAACTGGACAGTAAGCCTTCCGGAGGGGCGATTTTTGTATCCAAGGAGACTAACGCAAACCATGGCAAAAAGTGGGCCTTAAAAAGTATTTGTTGGATGACTAGTTGACGAGGCGACGTATACATTTGGTTCAAATTTATACTGATTTCGCTGTCAGCCTGTTTTCCTTCAAAAGGGCTGACACTTCCCTCAGGACCGATTCATTGAACACAAGACACAGAATCGTAGAGTTTGCGGAAACCTTGGGGACAAGTCCAACTCTTTTAGTTCACCCGAAAACTCTAAGGCCTGGTGGGATGGAGTGACTCTCAGCCAAGGTGGCCGCTAGGAGCCAGCCAGGAAAATTCCCCTGCCATTGAAAGAAGGGGAGGGCCGGAGCGCTGGGGAGCCCAGGGGCTATCCCGTCACGGGAGTGGGGCTGCTCTGTGGCAGAATCCTGAGTGCCAGGCCTGAACGTCTTTCCTTAGAACAGGAACGTTTTTGGGTAGGATGTAAGATGACCCCATGGGTTTTCTAGTAGGTTAGTAATAGGGCAAGGGGGAAGATGAGCGGTCAGAGAACAGTCTACGCGTGAAGCAAGGAGGGAGCGCTTGGACTGGGCGGGGTGTTTGCAGAGGGAACTAGGGAAGGGAGGACAGAAGTCTGCAAGCCAGGGAAATGGTGGTCTCAGCGATGGCAATAAAGATGGGATCGAAGTGCAGCTTTGATGGTTTATGTGCCCTCTGCGGCCCCGGGGCCAAGAGCCTAGTGGGTCAGAGGGCTGCCTCTGCACTCACCATTCTGTTCCAGTACGGGCTCTACCCCGTACAGGCGAGTGACCTTGGACAAAGGACTCCATGACTCTGAGCCTTGGTTTTCCCATCTGTAAAATGGGGGTGGTTAACAACGGCCTCCTAGGCTTGCAGGGAGGATGAACTTAGGTGATACATTTGAGGCACTTAGGCCGAAGCCTACTGTGTAGCCAGAGATCAGTTCACAGTGGCCTTGGAGCCGGCCCGTCCTGTGATTTATTTCTGTCCTCACACAAAACTTCAGTCCGGGAGTCTTCAGGGGAAAGGAGCACTCCCTGCAGGAGCCGCTCGAAGCTGGACGCTCCATGTTTGAAGCTCTGTATAAGGCGACAGATAAATTCTCTTATCTTTTGGAGCCTGTGGGAGTGTTTTAAACTTAATTGGAAGTTCTTGAAAGGAACTGGCATTAAAAACAAAAAAAAATGCCACGTGGGTACAATTGTCCAAGTCTTAAATCGGTCATATCTGGAAAAAAAAATTGAGTTCGCTATAGTCTGGTAGGGCTTTCAAATGTCCCTCCCGGGGCCTTGTGTAATCTCAGGACTCCGGGGCTGCCCTGGGCACAAGGGCATGGAAACTCCTCTTGGACTAGAGCTGCCCCCCTTTCAACACGCAATACAACTTCATTTGAAGAAAAGGCTTCACTTTTTGGGAAAACTCGTGTAACAGAAATTTAACAAATATGCCAGACTGATAATGACAACCAAACGGCAAATTTTCAAAGAAATTCTATATAAAACCTCCACGGCTTTAATTGGCTAGACAAATTCATGAAACATAGCTTCTGAAGACTAAACGAAGGAAAAAACTTCACAGGATACAAACACTGTACCTTTGCCCCAGTGGAATGGTGTCATTTTGCGCTTTTCTGATTGATATTGGTGTCCACACCAAGAGTGGGGGAAAACACAAATCAAATCTTGGGTAAGTATTTCATGCTTGCCGCTATCTGTTTAGGAAACAAAGTATTTCACAAAAGAACCACATTCCATTAAAAGTATGTTTGTTCTGGCTGAAACATAATCATTTCCTCAGGAAGTCTGATTCAGATGAAGCATCTTAAGAAATTCAAATTGACTTTGCTTGTAGACAACTGAATGTCACCCTCATTTCTGAATTCCACGAAATGTTTTCAAAATTAACTCTGCCATTTTAGACCATGCTTTTTTTTTTAAGATTTATTTATTTATTTGAGAGAGAGAGGCGGGGAGAGGGCAGTGGGAAGGGGCAGAGGGAGAGGGAGAAGCAGACTCCCTGCTTGGCAGGGAGCCTGACACAGGGCTCCATCCCACAACCCTGAGAGATCATGACCTGAGCTGAGATCGAGAGTCGGGTGCTTAACCGACTGAGCCACCCAGGTGCCCCTAGACTATGCTTTTAAATACCAAATATGTATTATTTCATGGCCTTCACTCCCTAGTAAATGTCAACTCCAGTTATTTCCTACATTTTAATGAACTTCTTTTGTTTATTTACAGAAGCTTCACTTTTTAAATGTGAACTTTTGAGTATATTTCTAGATCTAAATAAACCAATAGGGAGGAGGAGAGTATAGGTTTAAGAATTCAGACTCTGGGACCAGGCTACCTGAGGTCCTGTCCCAGCTCAGCCATTTATGAGCTCTGTGACTTTCCACAGGTTACTTCACCTCTCTGTGCCTCATTTTACTTATCTGCAAAGTGAGAATAATAATTGTACCTTTCGGGCACCTGGGTGGCTCAGTCGGTTAAGCATCTGCCTTCGGCTCAGGTCATGATCCCAGGGTCCTGGGATCGAGTTCTGCGTCAGGCTCCCTGCTCAGCGGAGAGCCTGCTTCTCCCTCTGCCCCTCACCCTGCTTGTGCTCTCTCTCAAATAAATAAATAAAATCTAAAAAAAAAAAAAAGTTGTACCTTTCTCAGCAGACAGTGAAGATCACAGGAGTGAACATATATATGTAAAGCACTGGGACTAGCACCTGGTACACAGTAAGTGCTCAATAAATATTAGCCCCTGTTAGCTATTCTTGGTTTCCTAGGGTAGGCAGGGTATGCTTTGTCTGGTTTAATTGAATATTCTAGTTGATAAAAGGTTGCTATGGAGACTATTGAATAGATGAGCACTCTTGACACAGAATATAATCAAAGATGTTCAACGTAAAGACCTGGCTGGTCCGAAGTCCACAGACGTTTGGGGCTGAAGGGACATGAGAGAACATCTTGCTCAACATCTTTATGTCATGGTTGAAGACCCCAAGGCCCAAGGGCCTGAAGCCACTTGCAGAGAGCCACCGAGCTAGGTGGAGATAGTCAGGATGTGGTTGTTTCTAAAGATACTTCAGGCTCTCGGAGGGCCGTAGCAAAATTTCCATTAGGGGCACCCAGTTTCATTGCACTGATAAGCCTGTTCACCGGGGCATTCTCTGCCGGTCAGTCAGGATGACAAACAGAAGCATTTACCCATTGGGAACTGTCGATACACAAAGTAAATACAGGTCAGTAAGCTGGCTCTGCTTTATAACCTCATGCTCTCGTTTATGATGCTGCTAGACAATGCTTGCCATGGGGGTCTTTCTCCATGTTTCCCTGTTAAATATCCTTCGAAAGACATTGTTTGGTTACAACCACAAGAAAAAACAGCCTGAAATATTAGAAGTAGGAGGGCCTGGCACCACCACGCCCACACCACTGGAACAATTTATACCTTGGGAGGTGCACAGACAGGACACGCTGCAGATAATCAAAGTTTTATTTAAAATTATAGAACACTCAAAAATAAACAATATCATATGCTTGGATTTTTGGTGTGACATAGAAAAAGGCTTCCAATTACACTTAAAACCTTCAAGTTTTACCCCAACAAAGTATGCTATGCAGCCAGTCGAGGTGCTCTGAGAAACACTGCTGTCTCCAGGGGGCTGGGGTAGGAGGTAGGCTGCGGACATCCCTGCAGGGAGGTGTGCTTTTCCTACTCGGGTGGACGATTTTTCTTCTTGTTGTGGCTCTCAATGGCCCTTCTGAGTGCTTCATCCTGGATGAGATCAGACATTCTCACATCCGTGTGGCTACAGCCAATTTTGGGGCAACTGTCAAGTAGAAGAAAATCACTTAAGTTGGATGCCTTCGGCCTAAACTCTTCTCACATACAAGTATTTACATGAAGACATTTTAGCCACAAGGAGAATGTTCTAGAAATCGCGACCGATGTGCCCTGACTCATTTATTCACTGAGGGCCTACCTGAGCCTGTCCCTGCCCAGGGCCGAGAGCACAGGCAGGGGTCAAACAGGGCCCACTTCACCTTCCAGTGAGGGACAGAGATCATCACTAAGTCACCAGAGAGTGTGTGCTGTGAGTTCACTCGCATTAAGTGCTCTGAAGACAAAGAAGCAGGGTCAAGGGACAGAGTGTGGGGTGAGACTTCTCTAGCTGGAGTCAGGGCAAGCCTTACTGAGATCTTATCTAGAACAAGTGCTGCGTGTGGCCCTGGCAAAGGCAGGAGCCGAGAAGGCAGAAGCTTGGTGGCCTGGAGTAAAAGAGCAAGGTCAGTGTGGCTGAGATGCCCGGGGAGAGACGGAGGGCATTTGGAGAGGGTCAGGTGGGCTTTGGATTTTATTTTATTATTAAAATTTTTTTTAAAGTTTATTTATTTAAGTAGTCTCCACACACCCGATGTGGGGCTCGAACTCACGACCCTGAGACCAGGAGTCGCACACTCCTCCGATGGAACCAGCCAGGCGCCCCTGGATTATATTTTAAATATGAAGAGAACACCCTGGAGGGTTTGAGATAGGGGAGGGATGCGATTTGGTTTATGTTTAGGAACCCCGGCTCTGGCTGCTGAATGCAGAAGAGTAGGAGAGCCCCGCCACGGTGCGGGGCAGGGGGCTGCATGGCCGGGGCTGCAGGCGGTGGTCGGCTTCAGGGTGGAAACAGAACCTCTAGGACTTGCTGTGGGGTCAGAGGCACAGTGTAAGGGAAGAGAAGGGCTGAGCTTCATCAGGGTTGGCCCCCAGCCGATGGGCTCATTGGGGGTACCCTTTATCTCTACGGGGAGCAAGGGGGATGGAGTCAGGAGTCCCAGGTGGTCTATGTTCCCTCCGAAATGCCCACCCGTCCTCCCGGTGGAGAGACTGCGTGGGCTGGCAGAGACTCAGGGGAAAACTGTGGCTGAAGAAATCAGTGTGTGAGTCACCCATGGAAGGGGGGGAGGTACTTAAAGCTGCGGCTCTGTTTAGATGTGGCCCCCTCTGAAGGCAGCGGGCCGGAGGAAGTCACCTGATTTCCTCTCAGCATGAAGCAGACTTGGGTAGGGTAGAGTGCCCAGTGTCTGGAGTTAAGGTGACCTGGTTCTGAATATGGCCAACACCTACTTGCTCCTTACGAGACCACAGGCAACAAATGTTCCCTTCCTGAGCCTCTATGCCCTCAGATTTGAAGTGGCGGCAGAATTCCTATTTCCCAGGGCTACAGGCAACACGGTGCTCAATATTACCCCGCGTCCCCTTCGCTATCTCCTAAGACTAGCATCTCTGACCATCATTCTTCCGATACATTTTAAAGTGGCTGATCTCTCTGTATCGTGCATATATCCAATGCATACATGCACGCATTTGTGCACGCACTTGACCAGCTCTGTGCTGGGTTCTAAGCACCCAACTGTGCAATACAAATTTAGACTCCTGCCCACACAGAGCTCCGGCCCAGTGATCTGAGACAACTCTCCGAAAAGCACAGGTATATTAAGACAAAAAATAACAGCTATAAGACAAGATCAAAAGTAATAAATACAAGACAAAAGATAGAAACCAGAAGCGGAAGAAAGCTGATCATGGGAACTCTGATTTGTCCAGTGGTAGGAAGCCCAACTGTTCAACATGAAGGAGAACCATCTTCTTGGCTGTTCTTTCTGGACCAAGGCATCTTTATATAAGAAAGGCATTAATCAATGTAATAGATAATATGCGTGCTAACAATATTTATTTTTAAAATCATGAAATGTGCCCCACAGGGCAGGGACGTGTATTAAAATGTGACTGTAAAAAGGCCCTCATGGGAAAGAGGATCAGGTGGTCTGCCCAACTATGCATCCTTCTGCCCATCTGGCTCTGTGTTGGCGTAAGGCCTGGAGGCGCTTGAGACATGTCCTACACTGGTTTCTCAAAGTGAATTGTTTCTTTAACTGTGAAAGTAAATAGCTGTGATTATGAGAAGGATACGGACACTTTCAAGACTTTAGAAAGGGCATTTTTTCATCACTTCAACTTCTGTGACGCAGAAATGCACCTCAAAGTAGGTCCCTGGGATGACATGTGCTGGGGTCACCCTCACTTCATACTTGTCACTTGGTGAACATGCACTGTGACGGCCGGCCTGGGGTCCTCCCCACTCCCGAGTACCAAGTCTTTAGCCCCGACGGCCAGATGGTGAATAAGCGTAGAGGGGGAAGTGGGGACTGAGGTGGGGAGGACTTCCTGGTGACATCAGCCGCCCTGTCGGTGCATGAGAGGACTCTGAGCATGTCTGATGGGATCAACCACACACTGCAGGCTCATTCCTCACAATGGGACAATGGGATGGAGCCCAGGGTGACGTGCATCCCGAACAAAGAAGTCTGACCTCACCTAAGGGATCAACTCTGGGGGACAGAGGCATTCACCCAAAAGCCCTCCCAAGGGGAGCTGACGGCCTCTTGACACAAACGCACGCTCAAGAGTGAAAGAGACGTGGGCTCAAGCCTCTTGGCTGTGACCCTCCGGGCAAGTGGCTTTAATTCTCGTGCCTTAGTTTCTTCTGCCATGAAGATGACATAGAACGTGGGGTCGCCAGGAGAAATAAGGGGGGCAATGTGCGACAAGGGTTGAGGCCCTGACTCTAGTCCGCAGCTTCTGCTCCCAAGAAGCCTGTGGAGAGGAGGCAGCCCACCGAGGGTGCTGGTGGCACATGGGCGAGCTACGATGCAAGGCCGCCATGGTAGCCTGATGAGGCGCGCTCTGCCCAGCCTGAGTGACGGTTCAGGGAAGACTTCCTGGAGGAGAGGTTGATTCGGGAGAGGAGGGAGAACCTTGTTTCTCAGCCTATCTCAAATAAACAAACACAAGTTCTTCAGCTACAAAGGGTAAGGCAAGGCCGTAATGACATGATACTGAATCAGGGCACTCCTCCTCCGGAGAAATAACGCTCTATATAAGCCTTAGTGCACTAATCCCCAGGACGTCCTGGTGAGCAAGTTAGGTGTGGCAACACCCAATCCTAAGCTCTCGAGTCATCGCTGTGCAGGAGTCAGACCTACAGGCCTCGAAGGAGAGACTGGGTCCTCAACTCGGGTCACTGACAGGGCAGAACATTCCATCAGAGCATCGAGCAAGCATGGAAGTGTCTACTGAACAAAGAGAGCCCAGGTCTCAGGGGTCCCAGAAGGCTGCGGGGAACCTTGGCCTCAGTGTCAGCTCTAAAGTACAAGATTCGGAGTCCTGTGAGCTCCCGGATCTGGGTCCCAAGAATTCCAAGGTCCAATCCAGCTCTGGGAGGAGGTCTACGGATACCTCTGGAAGTCTGAGTGGGATGGGTTCCCATCATACCTAAATACACCGAGTAACTCTGTCCTCCCTCCTCTGAGTCTAAAATAACGTGTCACTAAGCAGTGAGGTAAGTAATAACAACACTGACAGTCTCGACCTTTCTAACCCTACTGCGTTCTGGAGTTCCAAAGGAGCTTTCGCTTAAGTGGTTTGCTTCTCCACTGCCAAGAAATGTGCTGGTCCAGGCCTAGACTGGAATTTCCCCACCGTTTCTGTAATCCTGAGATCCTGGGAGATGCTGTTATTCTTTCTCCTCTGCAGATGAAGACATGGGGGCTCTGAGAGGCGAAATGGCCCGTTGGCCAAGAGTGAACTAGGGACAGTGAGCGCAACACCAGCGCTCCGCTCTTCAACGACACATCCCTACTCAACTTCATTGTACTGCACGTGCTGTTCAATGGGACTGTTGGTTAAACACAGTTCCTGTTCCTCAGCGAAAAAGGAACGACATGACTGTGGAACACTGGAAATATCTTATTACTGGGGCAATCATAAGGCAGCTCTGTTAGGGAGATAACGCACGGCCGTTATTCAGGAAATTGTTTTAACTACTGTATTTAGTGAGGGCCGAAGTCTCCACAATTCTATCCTGACTCAAGCCAGGGGAGAGAGATCTTCGCAGACACCAAAGCATGGCCAGGACGATTCCAGTCAGTGCCCAGTCATACAACGTACCTGGATTTCCAGTCTGACAAAATGTAACGTTAGAGTCATCTAGGAGGAAGGACTAAGATTTCTCAAATTGGATGTGTCACAGACATTTTTAAACAAAGGGGACCCAGAACTGCTCCTTGGGCTCACATGCATCATGGGAAATGACACTGCTTCATGCTCAGTCAGGAAGCTCTGGAGTAGCTGATGAAGAGGCCCTGAGGTGTAATCTGCTGCCAAGTGCAGCCTGTCTCCAGGACTCTGCCCACAGCCCCGCTGCTCCTGGGACACGCGCCTCCCCTCCTTCTTCCTGTCTCGTCGGGCTACGCCTCAGACGGCTTCCCTGGGGTCTTCTTCCTCTGACTGCCTTCTCTTTTAATGCGTGCAATGCCTTTCTGAGGGTCCACGGGTGCTGAGGGTGAGGCGGTGAGCAGAGCAGGGCTGGCCGCGGGCCCCATGCTGCCTGGAGCCAGGCCACGGTCCTGTCCTTGGTGGTTCTCAGCCGGCTTTCACCTGCCGCCCAGAGCTGCCCCTGGGCGGCAGGTGAGTGGGTTTGCCTCCTCCAGCCATTACCTCTCAGTGACGTCTTGAGCTCAGAGCTCTCTCCCGGGTTCAACACCTCACATTTTCTGGGCCTCCGGGACACTTCCAAATGGCTATGTTGCTAGGACCCCAAGCTGCGCCTCTCACAATCCTTCCTAAATGTGTTTGTCACTCCTGCCCTCTCTGTTGGCTAACGAGCCCGCTACCCTTCTGGAAATACCCTCACTCCTTCTTCCTCCCTTCAACTCTCAGTTGCCAAATCCTGCTAGCTGTGCCCCCAGCATGGGCCCCATTCTCATTCCCTTCTGCCTCAGACTGTTGCCTCAGTGAGGCCCCCATCGTCAGTAACTTAATCCCCTGCAAACACATTCTCACTGATGCTGTCACCTCATGCCTTGTTTATCCATCTCTTGAATTGTCTTAGAGTAACTTCCTAACCTCCAGCTTGACTCACCTGATTCCCTCAAAACCCTGCAGTGTTGTCTCATGCCTACAGAATAATGGCGGCAAGAATGAGAGTGGCGGTGGGGGGTAAGGGTACCGTTTACTGAGTCTTACCATGGGCCAAGGACTTGAAAGTACTTCACATAGATCGTATTCAAATTTCAAACATACCCGGGAGGCAATTACAATCATTATCATCAATTTATAGATGAGGAAACCAAAGAAATCATGACATTTAACATCTCTATAATGAATCTTGACACCGCTCTCCTTACTGTTCTACAGTTCTTGTCCAGAGCACCCTTTTTTCTCCCTCTCACAAAGAGTAATCACGACCGTACCTTCTGACCACCAAGTAGAACAGACTCTGAATGGGGCGAGCCTGTTAGCCAGAAGGACTCTTCTTCATCATTCTCTGAAATCCTTCTCATTTTTTTTCAAGGCCCAGGAAAAATACTACATTCTCTCTGAACCTCCCACACTTCTTCCACTTGGACTTAATTGTTATTATCAAGCTATGAGAATCTGCAGTTTGCAGAATCTGCGCTCATGTTATAGAAGCATGACAGGAAAAAGACATTTTTCTAAATGACAAATGTTATTCGTGTAATTCCAACTAGCACATACAATTCAAAAAAGCCAAAGGACATTAGAAAGTGGAACATGTAATTAGGAAGATCCTTTTACACGTGAGCCTGTTCTTGAAGTCACCATCCCCATCCTGGGACTTGTGAGAAATGTGCTTTGTTCTCAGTGCCTGCTCTTTCCAAATCTGACTCTGGGAGAATATCATAAACTTTAAGAAAGTAAGAGTTGTGAAACAGAACTATCTGGGAATATCTATTCTCAGCAATTATCATTTTCGCAAATTAAAAGGTTTTTTTTCAGAGAATGAACACAGAAAAAAGTCAGTAGAAAGAGAAGGCTCAGAAGTCCAGAAACAAAGGAAATTATATTCACAGGGAAAATGGAAGGTTCACTAGGGAAATACAACATCTCAATTCTAAGCTGGGACTCAAAACAGATACAAATGTACTCAACACTCTTAATTTTGCAGTCATGAGGGCATTCTTCGGGGACAAAGAGGGTAAATGACTTGACTGAATGACCATCAAGATATCTAGAGTCTCAAATACCCTATCTCTAAGTCCACGCCCACAGGAGGAGTGCTGGGGAATTCCAATTCTGGGTCTGGACCAGCAAATTTCTGGGTGATGGAGAAGCGAGCCACACATCAAAGTGACTGTTATCAGAAGTCCATTGAGAACTGGTCACACCTGCAATTCCATTCCTACGTCAAATCTGTGATAAGAGCACGAGAAATGCCAAACTGAATTATAGTGAGTCTAGCCAACCCAGGATTCCATGTTATCACAGGAATGGAGCCACGGTCCTCCAAGGTTGTGTGCCAGAGGGGTAGGAATGCGTGGGTAGGGGGTGGGCAGGGGGTGGAAATACATATAAAATACAGGTAAAAGGAAGATTTTCCAAACATTTCAATTAAAAAAATTTTTTTTCTCACTGAAGTGATTCACAAATTTACTTGAACCTTTCAGAAAGTTATTTAAATAATTAAAGATATGAAAGGTTTTCCCTGACAATTCAATCTCGATCAAGACCTCTGGATACAAATCTTATCTCGGAACGTTTTAACCAAGTTACCTGTATCGCAGGATGCAAAAGAATTTGCCATTCCTTCTTGTGTGAGTACATACAGAAGGGGAAAAAGAAATCTCTTAGTATCATAGTTCCCCTTAATCTTTTCTCAGGCTATAGCACAATTTCATGAACATTCCTATTAATTAATGATGAAACTTGCACCCAATTCCTTTTTCTCCTGTTTCGAAGGTGTGGCTAAAGTTGCTTCAGCTTCTTCCTGAGCAGACTACTCATTTTTCCGTCGTGTATTGTTTTTCCAGAAAGCCGGCTTCCGTGCTTACACCAAGAGGGAGGTGGGTGGGCTTTAGGGGGGGACATGGAAGTGTCTTTTTGTCTAGCGTGGGCACACCACCTCTGACTGACCGCCACTGGGAAGGCTCACTTCCCTTCCGGCGCCGACTCACCAGGCCTTTTTCTTCCGCTTGTGCTTGGACTCAATCATGCGCACAATGGCTTCCTCCTCATAGGTGTGGCCACACACTTTATTTTTCACCGGCTTCTTCATTTCCACCTGCAATCAAGGAGACATTCAGCTTTCAGGAATGATAATGATCCACTTCCAGTAACTTCTCCAAGTCACCAATTACTTAGAACTGTTTTTTCCTCATCTGGGGGCTTCCCGTGCTCAACCTCGCAGTCTCGTGGCTCATTGATCGTAGATCATTGTTGGGGCAGATGGCCACAGAGGAAAATGCAGGGAGACCGTGGCACCAATGTCAGCTGGCTCGTGGGCCAAGAATTTCCTCCTCGATCCCTCAGGGCACGGTTGACTGAAAAGTCTTGCCAGCCCGGGGAACCTCCCCCATAGCCTCCTGGACCTCATCACTTTCCTTTCCTCCCTCCTCACCCGAGATGTGAAATCAAGTTAGAAAGCAAACATGAGTCTTGTGCCTCTATGAAGTGAATTGCTTTGTCTTTCTGGGAAGGAAGAAGGAGACAGTACCTGTGTAATGGGGCAGATGAAGTTGGTCTGACTTTGGGTCACAATCATATCTTCATCAACTCCTTCTGTTCCATCAGCCTCTCTGTCGGCTTGAAGACCATCTAGAGGGGAAAAGGGAAGTCGCTGAGCCACGTTGGTCTAACACTGTGCCAAGGACAGGAGGGAATGGAGGGAAGGAATGGAAGGAAGGCAGGAGGTTAATGGTTTCTCAGGGTCTGTTGGGTGGTAGGCAACCTTGCTAGGCACTTGGATGCCCGTTAACTCTTCTGCTCTTAAGAGAATCCTGCAGGGTAGGTAGGATTCTGCCCATTTTTGATAAGGAAACAGACTCAGAGCAGTGGGATACCTTTTTCAAAGTATTAATTTGGGAGGGAGTACTGTCCAGTAATCAAGAGTGTGGCTTTGGAGTCAGAAGGGCCTGGTTATCTCTTTCACTTCCTGCTGGGAGACCTTGGGCTAGTAAGATCTTTTTCGTAAAGCCTCTACTTTCTAGCTTTGTTGCAAAGATTAAAAGAGATGAAAAATGTAGCATGCTTTGCAAAGCCCCTAGCACAAGGAAACATTCAATAAAGGGTAACTACTATTAGCTAGCTCAGGGGTTCTCAAACTTTTTGGTCTTAGAATACTTTTATACTTTTTGATATTACTGAGGACCCCAAAAAACTTATTTGGAGTTATAGTTACCAATATTTGCCACAGCAGACATTAAGACTAGGGATTTTAAAAATATGCATTTATCAATTCATTTAAAAAAACCACAACTCCTGGGGCATCTGGCTGGCTCAGTCGGTAGAGTATGTGACTCTTGATCTCAGGGTTGTGAGTTCAAGCCCCACGTTGGGTGTAGAGATTACTTAAGTTAATAAAACTTAAAAAAAAAAACAACTCCACTGCATGTTAACATAAATGATATTTTCAAAACTAAAAGTAATTATATTTTCCAGAACAACAATAAAAGAGTTTGAGACAAGAGTGGCATTGTTTTTACATTTTTGAAAATATCTTTACTGTTTTGCTTAATAGAAGATAGTTGGATTTTGAGGGGCACCTGGGTGGCTCAGTGGGTTGAGCGTCTGACTCTTGATTTCGGCTTGGGTCGTGATCTCAGGGTCGTGAGATCAAGCCCTGCATTGGGCTCTGTGCTCAGCAGGGAGTCTGCTTGAGATTCTCTCTCTCCCTCTGCCCCTCCCCCCACTCTCTCTCTCTAAATACATAAATAAATAAAATCTTTAAATAAATAAGAAGATAGTGGGATTCCGGTATCTGTCTATGCATTCAATCTGTTGTGATGTCATGTCATGTAGCCTCTGGAAAAATACACTTATGGAAAGAGAGAGTGAAAAAGACAAGTGACATCTTAGTATTATTATGAAGATAATTTGGACCTCGTGGGTACCCGCAAAGGCCTTGGGAGAACCCTAGGGTCCCTGGCCCACACTTTGAGAACTGCTGAGCACATGCATGGTAAGGCTGCCTTTGGAGAGCCTATGTGATTCTGAAATTTATGTTCTTTTCATTTCATCACACTTGCTCCTTACTGAGAGCAAACGGATGATGGATGGCTTCTGAATGGGATAATGAGACTAAGTATCTCATGTGAAAGCCTTTCTTTCTGGAGCAGGGAGACATCATTTTGCACAGACATCAAAGATCGATAGCTTTTTAAATGTAAGTGTTGACAGTGTCTTCCTTCCTCTTTCTCCCCTGGCCCCCCCTTTCCTGTCCTTACTGCCTTTTCTCTCCCCTTCCTTCTTTCATTCTGGCAAAATAACATCAATGATAATAATTGCTTTGTTTTTAATGTGGGAGGGAGAACCCTTGTCTCAGGTTCAGATGGTCCTGCACACCGTTCTGTTCCTAAAACTGACGGCCCGGGCCTCCCACCTTGGCCAGATGGAATGCCTGTCCAGAAAAGTACCACTGGGGGCAGGAAAAGAGCCACAGAACGCTCGTTCAAGGTCACCCAGTGAACTAATGGCTGGCACCAGGGATTCTGCCCCTAGCTACTCTGTTTTTGTAGGGGTTTCACCTTGTTTTACAGACTACATGTCAGCTTCTTGTGTTTTCCTAGAGAAATGTCCCTCAAAGCAGCTCTCATTCCTTGAAGAAGGCAGGAGTGGAGACCTCAGAGCACAGGACTTCCCAGGCAGGGCATTTTTAACCATTGGCCACTCAGGTACTGTGCCTTCTAGCTTTTCAAGGACCTGTAAAAATGTCTGAGCCCTTGAAAATCATTTGTTGGCTTCAGAACAGGAGAACCACAAAACTGGATTAATAAATGAAAAAGGTTGACAAAATGTAATGTTAGATTAACTTCATTAATTGCTGACTTGGGGGGCGCCTGGGTGGCTCAGTTGGTTAAGGGTCTGCCTTCAGCTCAGGTCATGATCCCGGGCTCTCCGCTCAGCGGGGAGTCTGCTTCTCCCTTTCCCTCTGCCCCACCCCCACCCCCACACCAGCCAACTTGTGCTCTCTCTCTCTCAAATAAATAAATAAAATCTTTAAAAAAACTGCTGACTTGGTAATCAAAAATATTTCATTTGGAAGCAATATGTAGGCTGGATTTAGGTTTGAACTTAATAATTCCCAGGTATGCTAAGATAATTGCTGATGAATAAATAGCCAATTATAAGTTACTTGTAACCAACCTATGTCCAAAGCAAAACTATGAAGATATTTTCAAAAAATTCTGTTGGCAATAAAAGTATATTTAATGTGGAGGTATGTTTGCTGTGATGTGGGATGGGACCTATGAAGGGTTTTTGTGCGTCCCAGGACCCGTCTTTCGTATTCACAGAGCGAAGAATTAGACTCCTAGAGGAGTCCTTCATCAACCCAGTGGTTGCTCACAAGGGCTCAGGAAAGGTGGACAAGGAGCAAAGTCAAGGAGCAGAGCTAAGAGCGTTCTGTCTCTTTAATTCACTTTCTAAAACCTCCTCCTGTGGGCGGCTATTGCCAACTTCTGATTGTGTGTTTGGTAGTCAAAATTCAGGTCCCTCTTTGTCCATTTCTTACACAGCTTCTTCTGAGCTGATGGCAGATTATTTTTTTCCCTAATGGCATTTTTCTGACTGTAGATGTGATACTGTAGAAGTCACCAGAAACTCTGTTAGATGAATAACAGAGTTCTGCCAATGGGAAAGGCTGTGGGTTTGTTTTTTATTTTCTATTTTTAAATGTAAAAGGTAGAGGAAGAAGCAAAGCACAGTTCGAATGCAATGGCGACCACTAAGGAAGGCTGAGTGGAGAACTCAGAAACTGTAGGTGGCTATCAACATCCGTGATCATGAAAGAAGGTAACAAAAGTAAGACGGAGGAAGAATGCCAACAGTGAGTAATAATAGTTCACGGACCGGGAGTCTAAAAAGAGAAAGATCCTCAATAGCTAAACCTCTCTTGAGATAGAACATTTCCTCACCTGAAATCGATATTTATAGAAAGTGATATTAATGTTGGGATCTCTGATGTGCTAACAGAAGGTCACATCTGGCAGTAAATATCAGTCACACTCATTTAGTTGATCCAAAGATAAGACTTTTTGATAAGCTTGGTAAAGGAAGACTGGAGAGAAAAATATAGATCATCTACTAGAACCATGTAAGTTTTATTTATTTTTTATTTTTTTAAGATTGTATTTATGTATCTGACAGAGAGAGACACAGCGAGAGAGGGAACACAAGCAGGGGGAGTGGGAGAGGGAGAAGCAGGCTTCCTGCTGAGCAGGGAGCCCGATGCGGGGCTCAATCCCAGGATCCTGGGAATGTGACCTGAGCCGAAGGCAGACGCTTAACGACTGAGCCACCCAGACGCACCACATAAGTTTTAAAGCTGAAATTATCTACCCTAATTCTCTCAAACACCTGAGAAATCTGAAATCTAAAGACATTATAGATTTTGTTCAAAGGTAGGCAGGGATTTAGTAAATCAGCGCACGGCTCTGTTTTCTTGGCCTGCTTAATTTGAAGCCTAAAACCAGTGTGTAGGTTCTGGGAGCCACCCTTTCCTCCCCCAGATTATTATTTTATTAATAACAGCACCTCAAGTTTACCGTCTTCTACATCGTAGCCACTGTACTGAGCACTTTAAATATATTATCACATTTAATCCTCGCAAAGTACCCTCTGGTATAGGCCAGAAAACTTAAGCCTCACAATATTTTTAAGGCAACAGTAGGAAATAGCGATATTATAATAAATAATAAATAAATAAATAAATAAGTGGATTAAATCAATTTAATCATTATTAAAGAGATCACACTTTTCCTTATTATAAAGTGAAAAGCAAGAAAATTAGTCATATTGCGTTCCACGTACACACACAGGGTATGTTGTTAGAAGTACGTGTCGGCTGTCAACTTGTGATCTGGTGGGCAAATCTCAAATCCCCTCCTTCTGTCCCTGCCTGGGAGGGAGGGTACCCAAGCCACGTGCAGACGGCGGAAGTGCAGACAGGACTTAATGTTAGAGAGGTACCCATAAGGGATGTGTCAGGGTGTGAGTGAGTAACTTGGACATGATTGCTTCGGATGTCATAAAATGAACGTGAAGAGGAAAGAGAAACCACGGAAATGCTTGAAGTAGTAACCAAGTGCACAAAGAATTCCAGAAGTCTATGAATATTCCCCTGGGATGTAAAGTTAGGGGGTAGAGAGGGCATCTATTGAACCCCAAGATGTGGGTTCATCATCAGTCAGTTATGACGGACAATGAAGAGCTAAACGGCTCTGCCTTCAGTCGTCCCCAGTCAGCCATCATCCTTCTAGCCGCTCAAGCCAAGACTTTTGGAATTATTCTTAATTACTTCATTTTCCTTCGTTCCCCACATCGAGCCTTACTGGCAAGTTCTGTTGACTGGTTCTAAACTATATTCCCGAAGTCTAAATCAAGTAAATCTAGCCCCTTCTCTCGATTTCTACTATATCCCAGTCCAAACAACTACGGCCTCCTGCCCAGACCTCTGCAGTAGCCTCCTACCTAGAATCTCTGCTTTGAAAAGGGTCGTAATGCTCCCACACTCGCTTCCTGCAGTGGCGCTCACAGCCAACCTCCCCGACCAGTCTCCCTCTCACCCACCATGCTGGACTCACACTGGTCTTTTCTCT